TCGTAGTTATCTAATTTCGAAGCCACAAGTGATATGTAACCTTCTCTTATATATTCGTTAATGACGCCGTCGTAAGCTTCCTTTAACTGGGGCGAAGCGAGCATCCTACGCTCCAAGCTGTAGAAACGTTTTTCCGCCATTTGACGCGAATCGCCGAGAGATAAAACATCTCCCTTAAAGGGTAGCGCTACACTATATCTACCGTCGCGATCACGAACGGTCGTGCGGACGTAAATTTCCTCGCATATCCTGTCAGCTGAACTAGCTATGGGTGGGACGTTCACCTCCTCCATCTCCCAAAATTTGCGGACTAACGACTCGAGCGGTTCGACAGCCATACCACAATAAGATGCTGCCGAAATACTATCTAGGATGGGGGCGGAGCCAAGGATCACATAGCCCAATACGGTTTCCAGTGCGTAAGGCGCGGTATGCGAGGAGTTGCCCCTGACCTTATTGTTTAACAAAAGATGAGGGAAAAGCGATGCCCCAATGAGCATGTCTATGTTTCCAGGAACGGCGTAAGTGTCGTCTGCTAGAGTCAAATTTTTAAATTCAATCATTGCCGAGGTGTCAACCGAAACGGTTGGCAACCGTTCAGTGACCCTATCTACTACTAGTGCATTTATATCAAAGTTAACGTTACGATCTATCCGAGAATAAAATTTTAAATTTATATATCCCTGTGTCGCTTTACTAGTACCTCCGATGCCTTTAACTACAGGACATGAAAGTGACCTATTTATTACTAAGCCTAAGCGCTGACAACATTGTCGTGTTATAAAGCTATTTTGGGCTCCGCTGTCCAGCAGTGCACGGACGCTTTGTTTGTTTCCACGCGAATCCCTAACCAAAATACGCGCCGTACCCAGTAACACGGTTGAAGGAGGTTGTGCTCCCATATTTGCCAATGAGCACAGAGCGACATCATCAGGTCGACCGCTAGAATCGTTGACCTTAGTAGGGGTGAATTCCTTATTCGCCTTACTTGACGCCGCTATGTTGCTATTTTCAAAATGTAATAGCGTGTGATGTTTCCTGGCGCACTTGCTACATACGGAACTCGAATTGCATTTTGCAACTAAATGCTTATCGCTTAAGCAGTTCAAACATAGGTTGTTTGTCTTTACTAACTTATAACGTTCGCTTGGTGAATATTTACGAAAAGTCGCACAGTTATATAAGTTACCGTGTTTATCTTTACATACTATACAAGTATGCTGGAGCGATGTCGGCGTAGCGGTTACGTAAGTTAACGACCCTGCTATTTTAGATGATTGAGTCTGTCTACGGTCGACGCACCTTTTAATCTCCTGTTTAACGTTCGGTGAGCGCTGCATCACCTTTATTTGATCTCGCACGAACGATGCTAATGAATGAAAGGAAGGCATCTCCGAGCTACGATGCTCCATTTCAAACGCACGCACGGTGTCGGAGTCTAGTTTCTTCAATGCTATATGGAGAAACACCACGTCCATGAGGTCATTAAACTTCAAATTCTTAAGTGCAGCCACCGATGCCACAAATTTATCGAGAAACTGCTCTAAGCCGTTGATGTTCGCGGATGATATAGGTTTAAGATCGAATATCTGGTTCAAATATTCGGAAGCTAACATTCTCCTATCTTCATATTTAGTTTTAAGCGTTTCAAATATTAATACGTAATTGTTTGCTGTAGGTGTAAAACCCGAGCAGATCGACTGTGCTCTGCCACTAAGTTTGCTAATTAAGTAATATAATTTTTCAGCGTCCGATAACGATGGGTTGTTGTGTATATTGTTTTGAAAACTACTGAAGAAGAAGGGCCACGTCTTAATATCACCATTGAATACCGGAATATCTATTGGCGGTAACCTAATTGAGTCACGAGGGCGTACCTGCATTTCAGGCTTCGCTTCACCTTGAGATTGTAGCAATTTTGCGGTTCTCTTCACGCGACACAACATATCTTCGAATGCCAGCAGCGGTTGGTAGTTCACTATGTATTTCGGGTCGGTTTGTAGTTCCGAATGATTAATTTGGTCTAATATTCTTTCGTAATCTGTCCGCAAATTATCAATCGTTTCGATTTCATTTAAAAAGGCCTCCCGTACTGCCTCTATATGAATGTTCTTTATATAATCACTTATATTTTGCACACGCGAAAAGAGTATGTCCCTCTTGGCATAAAGCGTTTTAATTTTGATTTCACTTCCACTAACCGCCATTTTAAATTATTATAATAAAGTTATATTAATCACAATTAATCTCACACGCATAAACGACGTAGGATGAATACTCGGCGTGCTGTATTACGTAATCAGATCGAGCGCCCGATGCAGTCAAGGCTACGCGTCGTTTGCTAAACCTAATAATTTTATAAAATTGTGGGGTAAGCGTATCAAACGGTTGCTATCACGCCGTTTCAATTATTTAATAAGCTTTAAATTTAACCAAATACGAGCGCTATTAAATGAATAATTCTGTTTGCGAGTAACAAATCAAAATTTTAATTTAAACGAACACTATTTAAGTCTATTCTATAAATTAGAGTGCGTTATCTAAACAATTAATTTAATAATTCGACCAGAAAATGGTTGGATAACCACTAAACACCAATCCAGATCCTGCCGAAGTGACCATAAAATGTTGGAGCCACGTGTTTAAGGCTGCCGAAAATCTAGTTCCCCGGTCAAACCTCAAACCTATTACGCGAGATATTAACTAAAGTGGACTGTATATGCGATTGCTTCTATGCTTATGTGAAGCGACTACTATAGCATGCGGTACAATGCACTCGCTCTTCCCTAAACTAAACTATTACTTGTCGAATCGATGAAAGGAATCCTGCTTGACTAGGAAAAAAACACAAATTGGAGCGGGTTAAATTATTAGCAAGCAGGTATAATTAAGGAGTATTGACTCACCGGGGTTTCTTCTTCCTGTCGATCACTATAGCGGCGACTTCCGGAACACTCCGGAGAGAGGCGGTGCGCGACGATATCTCACACGAGGTGAGGCGGGTTCCTGGAGCTCGACTGCTTCCAGGCCAAAGCGGTTTCCACTAGCGAGGTGTTTCCAAACGAGCGCGCGGGAAGAGGAGGTTGTAGTTCAACGACGACTGCGGCGGGAGAAGAGAGCGCGCGTCGGTCGCGCGTGTCTTATATATCCTCGGGTCCGATGATTACGCGATGTTCTAGAATCGTCTTCTTTCCCCTCCCACCCCACCACCCCGATGTGTCGATAGGAGGGTACGAATGATATTGTTTCGGAAGGGAATAATGATTCGACAAATTCCTACCGTCAAAAATAAAAAACGCGAATGGTTTTCCGCGCAACCACAAGTGAAACACAAAGTACGACGAAATTAGCGGTCTAGTACACTTGACGGATTTGTTGAAATCCTGTTTACACCTTAATTTCAAAGTTTCAAACTGCTTACACCTGGTAAATAGTTTGAAATTAAATTGTTTATTGTCATTATTGGTAGCTTGCTATCGGCTTTACAAAAACGCATGAAAGCATACCAAAATGCTACTGGTGTTTTTATAAAATTTTAACAAGATGTGATAGATACTCAAACTACGGCTGAATCGAAAGCTACTGCTAGTAGCTTTCAACGTTAGCATCCAAACTATGTTAGTTTATTTGCATCAAATTGGAAAAATAAAAAAAATTGACAAATGGGTATCCCGCGAACTCAATCACTCTCTCACTCACTACCATAGATAAATAAATATGTAGCAAGCTACTAATATGTAGTAGCTATTTGCTAAAACGTAGTGATTATATACTCTTTGGTGATTATAGCTGTATCATGGAGTGTAAAGGTAAGGAGAACGAACTCTGTATAAAAAGTGGTCGTAGGAAAGCGCTTAATAAGGTTGGCGCCACTGTAGCTAAAGGATAAATTTTAAAGAATTTGTTATATTTTTTATTGGCTCACTGAAATTAGCCCCCCGATTTATTTTTTATTTTTCAAATTTCGTTATCACATATCGTTAGTTCGTGGTTTGTTCTTGATTGTTCTCTATCAATAATTGTTTATTCGTCAATAATTTATTTATAAAAAAGTAATTAAAAATCTGCCTTATCATTGATATTTTTATATTCATTAATGTTTTTCCTTTAATAAAATACGTTTGTTCTATCAAAAATTTATCCATTTTTGGTTTAATTAACAATTTTTAGTTAGCTACATAATTATACAGACAGAGTCAACGTAGGGTTAAAATGTGTAAGTTGAAAGAACTTTCTATTCATTTGAATTCACTCCATAGTGTAGAACATAAACTAATAAGAGGTGTAGAAGTAAGAAGTACAGACTGTGTACTAAAAAGTGTCCATAGAAAACCGTTAAGTAAGGGTAGCGCCACTATAGCTACGGACTAAATTTTAAAGAACGTGCCGTAAAATATTAGTGGAATAGACGACTTTTTCGTGGTTATATTTACTAAATAAAATTATTTTAGATTTTAGAGCTGCAGTTCACGCTTCAAACCGTCGACAACTGCTAAGTTCATTTCATCCCGGTAGCTACTCCAGCGCTGTTGTGGAGAGTTTTTGAACTGTTATTTACTGCTTACAGGTGGACACTTTTTCAACTATTCTAGTATGGGAGTTGTTACTCCTTACTTCTACACTCCATACACTAAGGTTTTTAACCAGAGTAAGGCATGATCTGTACTTTAAAGATGGTCACACTGCTCTATACTCCATGTTCACTGCTCCGATTATACCAGCTTATCTATGCACTATTCTTAAACTAGTAGCAACTTGTAGTCTATGGTTGGTTGGATTTTGGATCAGTTGAAGTGCTAGGGTGAATTTCGGTGTTTTAAATATTTTTATACATATAAACTGTTGTTTAGTTCTTATTTCTTTAAATTATGTGGTTTTTCAACATGTATCTGTTTTCGGTCTAACCAAAATCAAGTAGGTGGAAATGAATATGGGTGTAGAGTTTATTGATACCACTTAAGTTTCATTTAAAAGTAATGACTTTAAAGAAAATTACAAAAATGTCCACAAAATCAACTATAACTACAGAACTAAATGGTTAGCACTAGAACATAATTTCACAGTGAAATGAAATCAAATGATCCGTTAAATGAGATATATTTCTGAATTTTCCCCTTGTGGCCATTTACACTTAAAAATTGTTTATCTTTTTATGTTTACAGATAGTATTAGTAATGTTTTGGGTAAAAATGTAAAAATACTTTATAAATCGTTAATTCGTATGGAATCAAGAGGTGATAAGGTAGACAACAGGGTTCTAGTAAGTGAAATGCCATTTAATATAGTTTTTTTATTTATATAAATATGTTACTAATCTAAAATATTTATTTATATAGAAACATTAAGCTTATTAATCTTTTATCACTTAAAACACTATTATTTGTATATCATTCTTATTTATTATTTATTTTCATGCAATTTTAATTAAATAAATAACATTTTATTTGTTTTGTTTTTGATGGATTTGGTTGGTGTATACATTTTTATTAAAATGGTTTGTAATAAAATTTTGAACAATAGCATGAGTCATGTAGGTGTGTCTCATGAACTGTAATAACAATCATCTATTACGCTCTGTTAGTCTCTATATCACCAACAGTCAACTCACAATGAATATTTTATTTTGATCACTATACAATGTGTTAATTTTACACTTGATTAAACGAAATGTGCGGATACTAGATAAAAAATTATCGGTAAAAAATCGAATTTTTTTTTTAATGTAAACTATTTAAAAAATAAAAACATTTATTTTTTTTTTTTTTGGTAAAATTCCCATCCTCCAGTTTTAAATTATTTTCTCTTTAAGTAAACGGTGTATTTTTTTTTCAAAGTAGTTTTATTTGAAAGATAGAAAGATTAACTAGCAATAAAAATTAAAAAAAACCTATGATCTTCAACCAGGGGTGTTCAAATTAGAGGTAGATGCGGCGCATAAGTGCGAATCAACATACCGATGGCATTCTTTGATGATTATTATTTTAAAAACGAAAAGAGATAGAACGCATGTTATTTTGGAGAACTTGTAGAGTAAGGTATGTAGTTTAATAAAACTGATAAATGCTAATAAGGTTATCTCAATATACTAGTTTTGAAGTTACAGACCAAAAATTTAAAAGTATTTTTTTAACAAAAAAAATTATCTTATTATTTTTTTGACAAATTTCCTGCTTGATATCATAGGTTTTTTGTTAAATTTTTATTGCTAAAATACACCATTTACTTAAAGAGAAAGTAATTTAAAACCAAAGGATGGGAATTTTACCAAAAAAAAATTTAAATGTTTTTATTTTTTAAATAGTTTACATAAAAAGAATTTTTTCGATTTTTTACCGATCATTTTTTATCTAGCATCTGCACATTTCGTTTGATCAAGTGTAAAGTTAACACATTGTATAATGGGGTTTTTGTGGGAAGATATAAAACATAGTAAATTTAACATGTTTTTCTCATAGTTGATTGTTATAAAATATAAGCTAATGTAATAGTTGCAGTTATTTTGTCCTTAAATATATTTATTCATTACAGCCTATCAATAGTCCAATGCTAAACACAAGCTTCCCTCATAGATTGTCTCGTAGGGGGATATTTGCCATAGTTGCCACTCTTGGCACGTGGTTCAGCCATTGGAGTTTTTTATTATTGTGGGTTGTTTCATTTCTCCTTTTTTGCCTGTTACAACACCTACCAAATAGGGTAGTGGTTTCTCTTATGTTTACAAGAATATATATTTTTGTAAACATAAGATTTATTTATAATATCCTCCTTTTTATTTTTAACCAACTTCAGAAAGGAGGAGGTATTCAATTCAACTGTATATTAGTTATTGTTTGCACATAAATAAATGAGTTATTTTATAATTTTGTCATTTCTTAAATTGGCTTTGTCATATTAATCCTTCTCTTTACTAAATATCGATTAACTCATAACTTTTTGAATGAAAGTAATGATCTCTCCAATATTTTACAAATTTGTAGTATCCAAGAGGTGACCTGGTGACTTATAGAACACGTATTGTTAAATACCTTTATTAGGCGTCAGTCCCTCACAAACTAAGATTTTAGATGTTTATAGTTTAACATGTGTGTAATCAATTATTTTGTACCTTTTAGTGATGAGAAAATAAATATAAATTCTATTCTATTTAAAAAATATTTTATTTTGGGAATAATGTTTTTCTAATGTATTATAAATAAATTTTGTTTTTACTTCTGTATTCCTTTCTATAATCTTAAGTGGTCTAACTTTATTATGAATAAAGGAGACATTGAGATCACATCGTAATTGTAACTGCATGCATAATCATAACTGTATGCTTTAGTGTTTGATATCCAACTTATATGCTTTGTATTGACACTTATGTCTTTACAATATTAAGTAATAATATTGATTTCTGGAAACTAAATTCGAAATGAAATAAAGTTGCTACATTTAATAGTGTAGTGCAATATTTATGACTCCAAATAAATATTTTAAACAAGTTTTAGTACATGTATTTGGAGTTTTTAATATTTTTTGTTACATGTTGTAGTCACATAAGAGAACCCATTACAACCATCCTATAAGTATTGTAGGAATTATAGGTTCTGTCAGATATATCTACCCTGTTGTTATCGGTAAAGTACCCAGATTAGCAATGAACTTTAGTGAATCAGCTCAGGATCCAGTAGGCTCATTATGATAAACAATCAATTGAATTATCATTAAATTAAAATTATTGATAACATCCACATGCCACAAAATTACCTGTCACAAATTTCTTATGATGAATCTAATGGCCACATGCATGCCAACATGGATGCCAACCATATTTTGATATTTGACATCTCTCTTCTCCAGATTTAAGATTTTTGATTGTTAGGATCTGGAGAAAATATTTTTTACTGTGAATCTGCTGTGCATATTTCAAAGTTATTTTTCTTTTTCAGGTTGTGACTGCGTTTAGGATTTTCATAACAACTACAAAAATTCCAACTCGGGTAAAGTACTTATTTTATTGTAAATAATTGTAATATATATTATGTAATATGCAGAAAATTTACATGAAGAAAAGCATGAGTGGATAAGCTTGTTGTAATAAAATTCACTTGTTTAGGTTTTTTATTTTAACATTTTTAATTTTTGATTATTAAGGTCATCACTTATTTTATAATTATTCATATGACAAACTGTTTAGAACCTTATGGAGTTCATATACTTATCTTTTTTAATGAAGTGCATGTCTTATTTAATAGTCCTTTTTTAAAATTCATTGCTGGATATTAAATGTAGAAACATACATATTTCTGGGACATGTGGACCTGGCTTCTGTTACTTCACATTATTGGAGCAGCATTATAGGATTTTTCTTGCCCTAAACCCCTTTCAGACATGAGAGGAAATCTGTACCCAACAGTGAAACAAATGTAGGTTTTTTTTATAATAATATACTCTTATATTTAAAAGGTGGACAATGGATTTCACTTAATGGAAATAGAGGCCCTTGAAAGCAAAAAGGCTAATCATCTATCTATTACTTTAATTCATGAACACAAACCAGTCTCCATTCTTATTGGTGAGTATTGAGATTGAGTAAGTCTATACTTAGTTAGTTTTAAGTGTTGTTTTTGCATGGTGAAATTCCTACTCATAAATAAGCGGCAAGGAAAAGAAAATATTAAGCCCCATCATCCCTTCGCTTGGCGCTATTTCATCTTCATCAATATCAGCACGGCCAAGAGAATACTATCGCACAATGGCACAACTGACTGTCCAGGTTCATAAATCCTCACAGAAATGAGAGGATCTGTCCAGGTTCATAAATCATCACAGAAAAATCCCTGTGCATACCCGTCCTTGTGGGGGCAAGGATGGGCTATGTCAAAGCACCAGCTGTGAATCTGGTTT